ATACGGAGAGCTAATTGTTTTGATCAACCCCTTCATCTATTGTCAATGCACTCAAACTAATTACACTCCTTATCCTGAGGCGGAGTAGGCGTGGCATTTAAACATGGCACAGAACTGGTTACTCGTGGGATATTCCAGTTTGAGACAACTGTCATCTTGTTCAGTGTTGGACAGAGACATGATAACAATTGTGTCAAAATGAAAATATCTCACCAAAGCACAACCACCGCCACGTTAAAGGCAGCGCCCACGTTCATTTGATGTTCCCGCGCCCTCTCTGGATATCATAGCCCTCCCTATGAGGATGCAGTATGTACTAGTTTTGCATCTCAAAAAGGCGAGAGGATAGCGCCGTTCGCTAGTGAAGAGTCGGCCGCCCGCCCACCTGGCCAGCATAGGGTTCTATATAGGGCATTTTCCATGATTTTTTTCTGCTTTTTTCTTCACTACTGGATCACGTATTATATGAGCTCCATAACTCATTATTCTTGAAAGCGGGCTCAGCCTTTAAAGGCTAAGCCAAAGCAGTTATGGCAGCCAGGTGGGCGGGGCGGCATCCTCTTCACAAGCGGGTGGCCCCATCCTCTCGTACTTTTGAGCTGCGAAATTATCCTCCACCCTTGTCGACAAAGCTACGATATCTAAGGAGGGCGTAGGAACATCAAATGAACGCGGGCGCTGCCTTTAAGTGGCGTGCGCAGTCACGACCACCACACTTCAGGGATGTCGAGGGTATATCAGATCATTCAATAGGTGGGCCCCTCACATCTGCGCCGGTAAGTGAACTATTCCCCTTCCACTTACAATGCACCTCTCAGTTATGGAGTGAGCTAGCTACGTACTTTACCTTGAACAAGTAGGATGGCGTTATTCGTCGGATATTTCTATTTGATATAAGTGATAACCTTTCTTGTAGAGGGCAAAGGCATGGCTGCAGCTGTTCTGAAACTGCGATACTATCCCAGGAGCGCAGCTGCCGCTCTCCATCTCTGGGATATGGAGTGTACCTTGCTACCTGAGAATGCTTCAAAAGATACCTGACAGAAGGTACTCTTTGCCCACTTGTAGGTACAGGCCGCACGTTGCTCCGTTGGAAGGCGTGAGTACGAATGGCGGTAAAGTAGGAACACGTGAAGGCTTCTGAAGGCACCTTATTGCATTCAGATCGAGTCTTTCCTTTTTCAGCTAGCTTTGCCGCTGATTAATCACGAACTCAGATGAAATGAGGAACAAAATACACACAAATAGAAAAAAAGGTGTTTCAAACTTCCGTTAGAGAACTGCCGAATACCTTGAAAATGCGAATGTGGTTCACGGTATAGATCACATTGCGAATCCCAGTGTTGTCGTTAGACGGATTCGAAAAGCGGAGCACTCTCACATGGGAAACTGGAAAACGCTGAATAACAAAAAGTAACCAAGAAAACGATTTATAGTGGCCTAACTTCCACGTTCGCTCACAACACACGTTTGGAATAAATACTGAAAGGAAACCACTACATGAAAAAGCAGTAGCTTCATGAAGGCTGGAATGGACGCTACTATATCT